TAGTACTCGTGAAGTCCTGGGTTCAGTCCCTAGCACAACATAGAATCAGCCATGGTAGAACATACTTGTAATTCCAGCCCTTGGGAAGTACAAGGATCAGAAGTTCAAGGTCATCCTCAGCCAAATAATGAGTTCGAGGCCATCCTGGAATCTATGAGAGCTTGTCTCAAAAATAACTCAGCAAGCCATGTGTGGTAGTGCAACCTTTAATCCAGCACTCAGGACACAGAGGCACATTGATCTTGCTGAGTTTAAGGCCAGTCTGGTCTACATAATAAGTTCCAGCCCTTCCAGGGCTACTTAGAACCTGTATCAAAACAAAACCAAAAAAAAAAAAGTTTCTAAAGTAACTCAGGAAGCAAAACATAGGTGTATGTGGTGGTACTGGGGAGTTGACTGGGGCCTTGTACATGGTTCTGAGCTATAATGCCAGCCCAACATTTCTAATCTTATAAAGAAAGTCTACAAAAATCTTATCACAAACAACATACTTAAGGTGAAAATGGAACGTGTCTCCTAAAAAGGAAGCAAAATGCTGCCTGTGGTGGTGCACACCTATAATCCTAGCACTCAGAGGCTGAGGCAGAAGGATTAAAAGTTCAAGGCCAGTCTGGGTTGTATATAGCATGACCCTGTCTTGAAAGAAAAGATGGAAGGAGGGAGGGGAATATGCCTGCTCTCACCATTTCTGTTTACTGGTTTACCAGATGTCCTAACTAAGTTAAGGAGGCCCAAAAAGAAAAAGTATGTCCTGGTTTAAGTACAAAAAAGACACTGGAGATAAGCTGAATTAAGAAAAAAATATACAAAAGTCAGTTTTTTGTTTGTAGGGTTTTTAATTTTTTATATTATACAAAGTAATGGGTTTCATCATGGTATCTTTATACATGTATGCCATTTTATTGTGCTATTTGTTCTCCTCCCCCATGTTGCCTCCCCATCATCAACTAGTTTCCTTCCTTCTAGTTAGTCACCCACAAAAGCCAACTGTATAGAGTGCTTGTCCAATATGCCCAAGATCCTGGGTTTGCCTGGATTTGATCCCTACCTTGGATAGAAAAATAAGTTTATTTGTATATGCTAAAGACAGATTAAATTTTAAAATATATACCACATTCCATTGCATCCAAAAACATGAAATACATATGAATAAATTTAGATATGTACTAAAATCTACAAAAAAATGGCCAAGGAAAATTAGACTAATGTGTTCATGAATTGGGTAACTCCCAAAAACTGTGGTGTTAATTGTCTCAACATAAGTTTTTTTGGTTTTGTTTGGGTTTTTTTGGCTTGGTTTTCTTTTTGTTTTAGTGATGGGACAGAACCCAGGCTTCACACATGCTAGGCAAGCACTTTATCACGGAACTACATCTCCAATCTCCCACAAATGATAGCATGTGCCTTTATTCCCAGCACTGGGGAGGCAGAGGCAGGTGGATCTCTGTGAGTTCAAGGCCAGCCTGGTCTACATATGCGTTCCAGGCCAGCTGGGACTACAGGGAGACCCTGTCTCAAAAAGACCAAAAAAAAAAAAAAAAAGAATATGTACTTTGTCCAATAAAATTTTTTTAATGATAGGCTAATTATAGCATTCATGTGACGATGTAAAACATTTGAAATAACAAAATCTTCTCTTTCAGTGCTCAGGATGCTACTCTGGGGCTTTCACATAGTAGCCAAGTGCTGTATCACTGAGCTACACCCTCAGTCTTAAAACATTTTGGATCAGCACTGAACAATTTATTTTATTTTTATTTTATGTGTTTGAATGCTTTGCCTGCATGTATGTGGGTGCAATATGTGTGCAACGCCTGTGGAGGCCAGAGGGGGCATCAGATCCCCTAGAACTGGAGTTAGGGATGGTTGTTAGCCTCCATGTGGGTGCTGGGAATGGAACCTGGGGGTCCTCTGGAAGAGTAGCCAGTGCTCCTAACCTCTGAGCCATCTCTCCAGCCCCAGCACAGGAGTTTTGGCCTGTTCCATTTCCAACCTAGGCCAGTTCATCCCTCCTTATGCAACCTAGCATTCCTCCTAGGAGGTCACCATATTGGTGCTAAACTTAATACAGACACACCTGATTAGTATAGTACAGTACACCCCAACACTCCTGAACTCAAGTGATACTTTTTCCTCAGCCACCCAAGTGGCTGGGACTACAGGTGTGTGCCACTACACCTGGCAAAATATTTTGAATTTTTTTTAAAAAACTGGGGGACTCATGCTGTCTGGTTTCAAGATCTGCTATAAAGCTGTGTCTTCAAGACTGTGGTTCTGGCACTAGGGCAGACATACAGACCATGAAACAGTAAACAGTGCAGAAATAATGGATTGACTCATATGGTTAATTGATAGCACCGATGCCCAAGTAAACAAGGAAGGGTAAGCTTCCAGAACTGGGGTTACAGAAACGTGGATGTGCAACTGAGGGAAGCAGGAGGGGCAGAGTCAGCATCCTCACCTACCAACCCACACCAAAAGAATGAACTCTGACCTTGTGTGGTGGTACAGACCTTTAGTTACAGCACACAGAAGGCAGAGGCAGGCAGATCTCTGTGAGATTGAGGCTGGCCTTAGCAAATTCCAGGCCAGCTGAGGTTTCAGGGAGACCCTGTCTCAAAAAAAAACCAAAAAACAACAAAATAAACTCAAGCTGATATAATAGCACATGCCTGAAGTCCCAGCTACTCTGGAGGCCAAAGCAGTTGATCACAAGTTCCAGGTCATCCTTGCCAACATAATGAGACACTGTCTGAAAAAAAGAAATGTTAAGCCTGGGCTTGGTGGTACACTCCTTTAATCTCAGCACTCAGGAGGCAGAAGCAGGTGGACCTCTGTGAGTCTGTGAGTCTGAGGCCAGCCAGGGATACACAGTGAGACCCTGTCTTGAAAAAAAAAGGTGGGGAGGGGGGGACTGAAGAGATGGCTCCAAAGTTAGGAGCACTGTCTGCTCTTGCAGAAGATTCAGTTCCCAACACCCACATGGTAGCTAGCAACCATCCCTAACTCCAGTGCCAGGGGACCCAGTGCCTGCTTTTGTCCTCCACAGGCATTGCTTGCACATGATGCACCTACATACATGCAAGCAAAATACTCATGCACATAAAATAAAAATAAATAAAAGTTAACTTGAACTATATAACAGTTAAAGCTAAAATTAGAGTCAGGTGTGGTGGTGCACGCGTATAAAACCTTGCACTTGGGAGGCAGAGACAGAAGAATACTGAGTTCAAGGACAGCTTTGGCTACCTAAAGAGACCTTGTCAAGAAAGAAAGACGAAAGAAAGAAAGAAAGAAAGAAAGAAAGAAAGAAAGAAAGAAAGAAAGAAAGAAAGAAAGAAAGAAAAGCAAGACACAGCTTAAAGAAAATATTTTTTAAAAAAATTTTTTTATGTGTCTGAGTGTTATGCCTGCATGTGTGTAAGTGCACCCATGTCATGCAGTGCCCCAAGAGGACAGAAGAGGGAGTCAGATCCCTTGGGACTGGACTTACAGATGGCTGTTAGCTGTCATGTGGGTGCTGGGATTCGAACCCTGGTCTTCTGCAAGAGCAGCCAGTGCTCTTAACTGCTGAGCCATCTCTCCAGCCCCACAGAGTGAAGAAAATATTTTTGAAATACATGTATTTGACACAAAATAAATATCCAGCATATATAAAAAGCTACAACTCAGTAAGAAAATAATCTGTTTTAATATCTGAAATAGGCACTTTGCAAATGACAATATAACCAATAATTACTTTAAAAGATATTCAACTTCCGTTGTCATCAGGGCAATAAAAACGGAAGCTGCAACAAAATATCACCAGAGGGCTGGAGGTGTAGCTCAGGGGTAGAACAATTGCTTGGAGGTAGGTTGGCAGGAGCGGGGCAGGGGACACCAGAAAATGAAATATGTCCACTAGAATGGCTAAAATTATGAACACCAACAATGCCAAGTGCTGACAAAAGTGCAGAGCAGTTAGAATTTTCATACCCTGAAGTTAGAATTATGAAACAGTGTAATGGAAATCCTGCTCCTTCCTGCTGGGTTACAGAGCATCTCTAAGCAGTGAACCTCGGGAAATCCCCACTGACTGTCAACAGTGCTTCCCACCTAGTGGTTCTGGACCAGCAACAACTTCACCTGAGAGCTTGTTAGAAATGTAAATTTTCTTGACCCTGCTCAATAGGAAACAGTAGAGGTGATATCCAACAATCGTGTTTTAACAACCCCACCAGGTGATTCTGGGGCCGGGAGAACAGGAAAGAAGGGAAGAATGGAATGGAGCAGGAAGGGCTGCATCTTTAAGGTTGATTGGACACCTCCCCCTCCTCCTTCCCAGGCTACTTAACAGCCTGCCCTGGGGCGCTGACCCTTGGGTGAAGCTATAAAGCTGGATGAGGCTTTGTGAAGGGGAAGATCCATGGCCTAACGGTAAGCCTGAGAGCAGATGATGAGTAGGACTGGGACCCAACTGAACACACACAGCCTGGTTCTCTTAACCCCTAACCCAGGGCCCCAAGGGCAATCAAGTGGTCTTGCAGCAAACTTCCAAACTTGGGCTACACAGAATTGCCATTCTTTCCAGCATACTATAGGGTTTGTTTTCTGTTGTTGTTATTGAGACAGGGTCTCACTGTGAATCCCTAACTGGCTTAGAACTTACCACATAGACCAGGTTGGCCTGGAATTTGCTATGTAGTCCAGGCTGGCCTCGAACTGAACCCTGCCTCTGCCTCCCAAGTGCTGGGGATCAAGGGCATACACCAGAAACTCCTGGCCTGGTGCTGCTGTTTTGAATGAGTGGGCCCTGGGATGTTCTGATGTGAGGCAGTCAGTACGTGGCCTCCAGGAGTCCTTAATGGCTCTCAGGCATTAAGCAAGGCTTCCTCCCGGAATGCTGCCAGCTAGCCTGTGCTTCATTCAGCAGAAACAGCAGCAGCTGAGCTCCAAGGAGGGACCCAGGACTGCCTCACTGCAGGCTCCCTTCTGTCTGGACACCTCCACCAAGACACCCAGCGACATGAGTCGCCACAGCACCAGCAGTGCAGCTGAAAAGACATCAAGGGCCATGCTCTGGGGTAAGGGCCAAGGCTGTGCCCAGTTCAGCCTCACTACATTATATCTGTACCCAGCAAACATGGGCTGGGGTTGCTGGTAGGCTGCACCCCTAAGGGAATATGGAGGATCCTGTGGGATTCCTATTCTCTACTGCCATCTCTTTCTATATATCTCTGTGTAGGTGGTGAGCTCAATCAGGACAAGCAAACTTGTACCTTTAGACCCCATGGGGAAAGGAAGGAGAGCTGTAAGCTGTTGCTCAGTACGGTGGGTGTCTCCCCAAGGAGGGAGGAAGGATGGAGCTGGAATGGTCCTTGGGTCTTAACAGGTGACAACAGCTTTCTCCCATCTGCTCTTGGGACTCTTGGGGATCCTCTGGTTGTTTTCAACCATTCTCAGATTTGCTTGGGGGAGAAAGCCAAAGAGGAGGTGAATCGTGTGGAAATCCTGCCCCCAGCCAACCAGGAGGACAGAAAAACACCAGTCACCATTGCTTCACTGAAGGCCTCCGTCCTGCCCATGGTAAGTCCCTCTCTTCAGGCCTGGGAGAGAGATATCCACCTAGCATCTCCCTCAGGTGAGCCTAGACATAAACGTGGGTGCCTTTATGCCCCAGGCCTCCAGTCTTGCAAGAGAGGCAACATGGCCCTGTTCACAGCCCGAGGCCATCCCAGTCCCCCTTCCCAGAGCCTCGTGGTCACAAGCAAGTCAAATGACCTCTCCAACAGTTCCGTTTTTAAATTCTTCACTGCTAGTCACCAAGACACTGTTGATGACTTACATCTGGCCTCTGTGTTCAGAAATCCTCTTGCTTCCGGTAATGTATCTTATGCTGTCTGCAGTTAATCATTGTAAATAATGGCAAGTCAGGTCAATCAACAATTTTCAGCAAATCAGGCCTCTTCCTTCTACGATGGGTTCCATAAATTGAACTCACTTTGTCAGACTTGGGCAGCAAGTGTTTTTTTTACCCCTGAGCTATCTCGCTGGCCATTTGTTTGTTTGTGAGTGACAGGGTCTGGGTAGTGTAACTCTAGGATGACCTCAAACTTGTAATCTTCCTGTCTCAGCCTTCCTGGTCTGAGATGACAGGTATCTGCCATCACACTGAGCCCTTTTCCTTTTCTGTAATCTCACTACATTGCTCCATGGCCTAGGACTTCTGGTATAATACAAATATGTACGTTCTACACTACAAATTGAAAATATCATAATTGGAAAATGCATCTACTATACCACCTCTGAAGCATCCTAGTTAGCACCATGGCCTGCAGAGGAGTGTTGTTTGCCTGTGAGATAGCAGGGCTCAGGGAGCATCATGATGCCCATGGCCATGACTTCAGATAGAGAACTACACCACATATTGCTAGCCCAGGAAAAGATCACCATTCAGAATTTAGGTATGGTTTCTACTAAGTGGATATGACTTTTGCATCCCTGGAAAGTCAAAGATTCCTGAGTTGCCCCTATAACTGGGAACTGTAGTTGGATAAATGTGAGTGGTTGACATCCTTTCCTCTTTCCTGGTTTAAAGAAGGATGCTCCTAATACTTTGCCATGAGGTGCAAAGTGACTGGCAGATGTACTTTGCCAAAATAATGAAGTCCCATCTAGTCCTGTTCTGCTTTAAATTTTTTTTAGCTATTTTATTTACTTTTATGTGTTTGAGTGCATTGCCTACACGAATGTAAGTGTTATGCAATGCCCATGGAGATGAGAAGAGGGTGTCAGATCCCCTGGGACTAGAGTTAGGGACAGTTGTTAGCCACCATGTGGGTTCTGCAAGTCGAACTTGGGTTGTCTGCAAGAACAGCCAGTATACTTAACCACTGAGCCATCTTGCCAGCCCCATCTGCTTTAAATATTTTATTTTCTTTTCAGTCACGAATGGGGATTAAATTTTATCAAACGCTTTTTTTCCTTACCTGATCTCAGATTCTTCTGCCATTATTCCATTAATGTGACAAAGTTATATTAATGGCATTATATTTGAAGCTCTTTGAATGCCTGTAAGTAGTACTCCATCATCTGAGTTCTATGATTTGTGTTACTATATTGACCTTTACTTTTTACAGTTTTTATTTTATGTGTATGAGTGTTTTGCCTGCATGTATGTAATGCACTTCTGCATGGAATGGCTGCAAAGGCCAGAAGACAGCATCAGATCCCTCGGAACTGGAGTTACGAGTGGTTAGCTACCCATGTGGGTACTGGGAATGGAACCCAGGTCCTCTGCAAGAGCAGTCAGTGCTCTTAACCGCTGAGCCATCTCTCCAGCCCCTAAAAATAAATCTTAAAGTGCTGGAGAGATGGCTGAGTGGTTAAGAACACTGGCTGCTCTTGCAGAGGACCTGGGTTCCATTCCCAGCACCCACATGGCAGCTGCGAACTGTCCTTAACTCCAGTTCCAGGGGAATCCGAAGCCCTCTTCTGACCTCTGCAGCATTGCACGACACAGGTGCACTCACATACATGCAGGCAATACACTCATACACATAAAATGAAAATAATAAAAAAAATATTTTAAGATTTATTTTTGCCGGGTGTGGTGGCGCACGCCTTTAATCCCAGCACTTGGGAGGCAGAGGCAGGTGGATCTTTGTGAGTTCAAGGCCAGCCTGGTCTACATAGTGAGTTCCAGGACAGCTGGGGCTACAAGGAGACCCTGTCTCAAAAAGAAAAAAAAATTTATTTTTAATTATGTGCCTGTGTGTATGTGTCTGTGTATGTGTGTCTGTGTGTAGATATATGCACATGAATGCAGACACGTGCAGAATCTAGAGAGGTCCGATTCCCTGGAGCTGGAGTTACAAGCAGTTGTGAGCTACCTAACATGGGTGCTGGGGATCACACTTATGTTCTCTGGAAGAGCAGTACACATTCTTAATCACTGAGCCCTCTCTCCAGCACCCCCTCCTCACTTTGGTCTTAATTTGCTTCATAGTGTTTTATATTATTACTCTTTTTTAACATTTATTTCACTTGTATGTGTGAGTGTGGGTGCACCCATGCCATGGCGCATGTGAGGTCAGAGGAGGACCTTTCAGAAGTCGGTTCTCTCCTTTCACTGTGGGATCTAGGGATCAAGCTCAGATTCTCAGGCTTGTGCTGCAAGCCCTCTTACACACTAAGCCATCTTGCCAGCCCAGGTTGTTAGTCTTAAGGAGCCCTGGTTGCACTAGTTAGTCCACACTCATCCCATTTCTTTCTGCTGATTCAAGCAAAGTTTTAGATGGTGAGCTTATCTTCAGGGTTTTTTGTTTGCTTAGGGATCTAAGAGCATTCCATGTGGTCTGGGCTTGGGAACTGTCCCAACAAAGTGGTTTCATGTATGCATGGTCACTTGCCCTAGTAACACCACTGGGATTTCATCCAAACTTCTTGCTTGCTGGTGAATTCAGACCACAGAGAAATGAGGCACAGCTATGGGTTTTTAAGGTCTCCCAGGCAACTTAGTCTGCATAACTTCCTTGTCACCCTTTAAGATGATGTCTAAGTGGGTTTGATCTTATCCTGGGGGGTTTGTTTGGAGTTTTCAGTCTCTAGCCCTCAACATGATCCTGGCCTTGAACCTCCGTATGTACCTTAGCCCAGCCTTCTCAGGCCCTCACCTCTGTGTGAGGACCTGATTCCTGACCCCGTCCAAGTATGAAACCCCAGGCCTGAGCTACTCTGGGTTCAGAGTTAGCTACAGCCTCAGCTATAGCCACACCTGAACTGAGTGCATTTCTGACATGCTGGGATTCTGTTTACCTCTTGATGTAGCCACACAGCATGATGTCACAGGGCCCATCTAGGTGTTCTGTTTGCAGAGTTCCATTCTCACTTCAGCCCCTTCCATCTGGACCAAAATTGTAAGTTCATCTCTACAAGCCTAGCCTCAGCTTTCTCCTCTATAAGCAACAGCGTTTCCATCAGAGGGCTGAAATGAGGTAAAGTGAGCAAAGCATGTAACATGGTGCCAGGCATGTGGTAGAGGCTCAAAAAACGTGCACCCCTGTAATCCAGGTTAGTCAGGAGGCTGAGAGCCAGAGGATGATAAATTCCAGGCCTGCCTAGACCACATGGTTCAACACCAGCCTGAACAACTTAGAACCTGTCTCAAAATAATGGGCTGAGGATGTAGCTCAGTAGTTTCCCACAGCCACAGCAACAAAAGGGAAGCCCCAAAATGTGTTAGCATCTTGTTCTAGAAAACTTAAGCCAGGTGCAGTAGTGCATGGCTATGGTCTCAATACTCCAGAAGCTAAGGCAGGAGGATTGCCCGAGATCATAAGTTTAAGAGCAGCCTGAGCAATATTGCAATAGCCCATTTAAATGTGTGTGCGTTGCAGAAAACCTGGAGTGTTTGTAAAAGTACAAAGACAAATACCCTATTATGCTCTGACAGTCAGCATCAGCACTCTAATGGCTTTTCCCCCTCATTCATCTGTATAGCCATACATTTTCTAGAAAAGTCTCAGTAAACATAGGTCTCTGCATCAGCTTTTCCCATTTGCCAGTGTCTTGGTCACTTAAGCTGTCATAACAAACTGGGTGCATTTACTTTCTCACAGCTCTAGAGCCAGGAGCCCCAGATCAGGGCACCAACCTGAGCGGTCCCTTGCACACTGTGTCTTTCTCACATGGCAGGATGACAGAGTGAGGTCTCTGTTGTCTCTTCATCAGCAAAGTATAGATCCATCATCATCTCATCACACACACCTCATAAACCTAGTCACTTCTTGGAAACCCTCTTCAGATACCATTTCACTGTGGGACAGGGTTTCCACTGTGAACTGTTTTTCACCAAAGCCCACCTCAGTGAAGTGTAGGGCTGAGAATGCAGCAAGGTCCTCAGAGCCCACGTGGGGTTATATGTGTTTGGTTGGGAAGAGTATCTGAGTATCTGCCCAAGACCAGTCTCTACCAGAGGCCAGGCTGTTGTTACTTATCTCTTCTACTCTACCCCGATGTCCCTTTGCACCATAGGTCACTATGACAGGAATGGAGCTTTCTCCTCCAGTGACTTTTCAGCTCCGGGCTGGTTCAGGACCTGTGTTCCTCAGTGGTCAAGAGTGCTACGGTAAGTTGAGTCCAAGGCTGGCCACAGGAAAGGTGTGTAGGTACTATGGTAAGCGTTAAGGGAATAAGTAGGGCTGGAGAGACAGCTCACTGATTAGGAGCACTGGCTGTACTTGAAAAAGACTTTGTTCAGTTACAGCACCCACATGATAGCTAACACTGTCCCGTCCATAACTCTAGTTTGAGGGGATCTGACACTCTTCTGGTCTCTGCAGGTATTGCACACATGGTGTACTTACATACCCACAGGCAAAACACTCGTACACGTAAATAAAAATAAATAGTCCAGCCGGGTGTCGTGGCACACTTGGGAGGCAGAGGCAGGTGGATCTTTGTGAGTTCGAGGCCAGCCTGGTCTACAGCTGGGGCTACAAGCAGACCCTGTCTCAAAAAATAAATCATAAATAAATAAATAGTCCAAAGAAATGTTTAAAGACCAGGGATATGTTAGGTACCTGAACACTTCAATTCTTGACTTTTTGGACAAACTCCCCAAAGGCAAATGATTGCCAGAAGTCTGAACTGGAAGGCACTGGCCCCAGTTCTTCTCTACTGCCCTGCCATGTCCTCTATGGGTCTCAGGCCTCATCTGTGGCGAGAGAGTGGAGCTACCTCTGGATTCAACTTCAGAGAATTGGAGCGTAAACAGTCTTCAAAAGAGTCCTTAAGCTGTATGTGGTGGTTCACACCTATGATTCCAGCATGTGAGAGACTGAGGCTGCAAAGCCAGCCTGGGTGACATGGCCAGATCCTGTCTCAACCCTCCCCACAAAAGCAGAGGCTCTTAGTATGATAACTAGTATTTGAGAGTATCTCAAACATTGGCTACTAGTAAGCATGAAGCTGTAGTGGTGACATGGGCCACAGCAACTTGCCAAGTTATCACCTTCAAGATCCCTTCAACAGTCCCCCTTCTCTGTATTGGTGGCCCCTTTCATCCTCTCCCTTAGTACATCGTACTTCACTTAGGATAAGGTCTGCATGCTTAGCTGCCTTTTTTTATGCTCCTTAGGACTTAATCCATCTTGTATTGCTATAAGAAAATACCTGAAGCTGGATACTTCATAAAGAAACGTTTCATAAAGAAATGATGATAGTCAATTTGATGGTGCATGCCTGAACTCCTAGCACTCAGAAAGCTGAGGCAGGAGGATTGTGAGTTCAAGGCCAGTATAGGATACATAGCAAGACTCTTTCTCACACAAAAACAAAGGGGCTAGGGAGATGGCTCAGCGGATAAAAGTGCTTGCTATGAATTTGGATCCCAGCACCCATGTAAAAGCCAAGCATGATGACAGCGGCTGTAACCACCACACAGGGGTTGAAAGCCAGATCCCAGGAGCTCACTGGACAGCCAGTCTAGCTTTAATAGTAAGCTCTAGGTTCAGTGAGAGACCCTGCCCCAAAAGAAGGTGAACAATGAAGAAGCAGAAGCCAACCTCATGTATGCACAGAGCGCGCGCGCACACACACACACACACACACACACACACACACACACACACACACACAAGAAAAGAGGTCTATTTGGACTCACAGTTCTGGTGACTGGAAATCCTAAACAACATGGCTGAAACTTCTGCCCAAGGGCCCTTGGCTGTATCACAACAGGATAGATAATGGGCTGCATGCACAGAGTAGGCTAGAGGGACAGGTAAGATGGCTCAGTGGGTAAAGGTGCTTGCTGCCAAACCTGGTGACTTGAGTTTGATCCCCAAGACCCACATGGTGGAAGGATAGAACAAAAGTTGTCCACTGACTTCCACACATGTGCCCCATACACATAAGATAAATTTTAAATGTAATTTTAAGAAAAGCCGAGTGTGGTAGCACACATCTTTAATCCCAGCACTTGAGAGACAAAGGCAATTGGATCTCTGTGAGATCAAGAAAAAAAAAAAATGGCCAGGCTTTGTGGTGCACGCCTTTAAAACCAGCACTCTGGAGGTAAGGCCAGGTGGATCTCTGAGATCAAGGCCAGCCTGGTCTACCTAGTGAGCTCCAGGCAAGCTGTGGCTACAGGGAGACCCTGTCTCAAAAAAGACAAATTATATACATAATTTTTTTAATGTTTTATTTATTTTTATTTTATGTGTATGCATGTATTGCCTGTGTGTAGGTAAGGGCACCCATGCCATACAATGCCCACGGAGGACAGAAGAGGCTGTTGGATCCCCTAGAACTGGAGTTTCAGACAGTTGTTAGCTGCCATGTGGGTGATGGGAATTGAACCTGGGTCCTCTGCAAGAGCAGCCAGTGCTCTTAACCACTGAGCCATCTTTCCAGC